GATGTGCAATAGAAGGAATTTCTAGCATAGAACTTACGGTTACATCTATGTCTCTTTTAAAGTTTATTTTTGCTTCCTTAGCGTTCACATCTGGCTGACATCTACAGCGAATCAGAAAGAGATTTAATTTTAAGCATAGTCTAACAATAATGAGACCTTGCCGCCAATCTAGTACTGCGTTTACATTCATAAAGTCTAGATACCAAAGAGGAAAGTTCATCAGAACGATTAACATGAAAATATTTATGGAAAAGGTAGAGGGAATCTACGTTATGGCAATTGGAAAAGAAAAGTAAATTGGAAAGAAAAATTAAGGAAGGCGTGGAATCTTCCATATTAACCTTCCACCCCTTTCGGGAGAATGTTTCCTTCTATAAAACAAAGCCTTAATCAATCAACATTTCGTTTCAGTAAAATTCAATCTTCTATTGGTTAAAACTGTAGTAAAGTCACAACAGAACCTTTTCCCGCCTAAGGTCCCTGGAGCCGAATTTTAAACACCCATCTCTATATAAACAAACACATGACGCAATTCAAGTCAGTCAGTCATCAAATTTTAAGAGATCTATACAAACTCCACGCTGTTCAATTTACTGACTCGCAACCAATTAAAGTTTCTCAACAAACTCAACGCAGCATTCAAATAACCATTGTCCACGTGGATATTTCATCACCTACAATTGACTTAAAGAGTGAATATTTTCACTACGTCAAAGTAATTGTACATTCATCAATTTAGCCTATCAGTTAAAGGCAAACAACTCTTAGCAACTTTAATACTGACTCATAAATAACACACACACACGTACACTAACAGTTGAACAATACATTTTGATATTTTACTACGCAGAAATAAAAATTATTTTAATTTTAATAACAAGCCAAAAGCATCAGCATTTACTTACCACAATTCTGCATGAATATTCTTCACAACATTATCTCAATTACCAAACCAACAAAAATTCTGTTTATCTTTGCATGTGTATTTATTGTATATAAAAATCTCTATTGTTGATCTCTAATCATGTTCAGTTATTCCTTGCTATGCAATTGTCCTTAGGTTCTTTGTGTAACTGTAATCTATTTGTTGTGGGATAATCCAAATTGCAAACTTTCACCTTTATAAAAATTTACCTTCTGATACACGTCACTCAGCATACGACCCGCAACAAAGGTATATTTATTTACACGAATTCCTCACTAAGGCAAGATATGACACAAGGTCGGTTTTACATGACGAGATGAGCCAAGAACAAAAAGTAAAAGCAACGCGTGTATAAAATAATGTTGTATCAAGAATACAAGTTCCATTTATTAGAATATAGCATTCTGCTTACATTAAAGTTCAATTTTTATTTTTCCTTTATTTTTTTCTGGTTTTACCAGACAAGAAAAAAATCAAGAATACAAACCCTTTTCCAAATCCGGGAAAATACCTTTTTGATGCAAAAATCTTTGAATTCATACAGGTTTTATTATTATTATTATTATTATTATTATTATTATTATTATTATTTTTAATAAATAGATCACAAAGAAACGCCATTTTTTAAAAATGCGGACATGTCAATCGCGTGTTTCACGGTATAAGATTGTTCATTTATGAGTTGTCTCCCTTTTAACTTAAAAGATCAATTTAAATTTAAAATATATCAAAAATGGATAATGTCTAAACATGGGCAGTCTGCCTCTTATTCATTTATTATTCACAATTGAAAGAAGGCATGAAAATGTTTCCCACGAAAATTTAGCTACAGGCCGAAGGTTACTTTATATATACATATATATCCGTTGGTAATTGGTAGGGATAATTCCAAGGAGGACATGAATCCAAAGAAAGTTAAATATAATAATAATAATAATAAGTACAGACAAAAAATTATTAAAATACTTGTATATATTCATGAAATAAATTATAACCGAATGGATTCTTGAGGATCGTCAATTACTTATATATATATATATATATATATATATATATATATATATATATATATATATATATAAATTTACATTCTTTGACTGTTGCCCTCGTCTCTATTGCCATATTCAATTGTGAATACGGCAATAAAGATGAGAACAACAGTACGAACAATGTAAATAATGAAAATAATTACAATACCTCATCTCTGAAATACAGATAGACAGATATATATATATATATATATAATTTTAATTTTTTTATAATCATGTCTGTTGGTTTACTATAAAATTTTAAAAAACAAGAAAAAGAAAACAGTTAAATTTAAAACCTTCTATTATTTAAGCACCCAACATTAAATAAGGTATTTTCTCCATAGGGATCGTATATTGAAGTGTGCATAACTTTTATTTAAATACACATAAAAATTCAGTTTAAATGATGTCACCTTGAGTTAGTTAAAATTAGTTCCAGAAAACGTGAGAACGCCTGAATCGCCAAAAACAGTTACATAAACATACACAAAAAACAATTCTTGAAAACAAATGTAGCACATTCGACAGTACTCGAAGGAAAAAAAAACAAAAATGAACTTTCGTGAATTTACTGATTATATAAAACAACTAATTCGGAAACGTGAAGAAGTTAAGAAAAAAAATTGATAGACAAAACTTGTCGATATTATTAAACCCAACATGTCTGAATAATATATATAGGTACCTCCACGAAATCGCTAAAAAAAATATCCAAATTCCAAACGTAACGACAACATAATTTTATCGTCAAAATCTTTATGCTATTATTAAAAGGAAGGATCAAAGTATTTTTTGAATAATGACATTTTTTTTTACTCCATTTTAGAACATTCGAAATTTTGATTAAAAAACTTGTTTTTCTTGCGTCAACGTTTGTATTAACTTTCAGTATAGCAAATTTTAGCCTCTTTTTTTGCGGTGACAGATATTAATTTGGAAATTCTTGCAAAAATTAAATAACTGTCAAATTTTAATGAAACTTTCAGGTCTTATTCACAAATGAATGAAATTATTTTTTAAAATTTTTTAGTAGAAAATCTTGATAAAAATATTTTCTTATATGTGTTTCACTCCCTTATTTAATTTTATGAAAACTTGAGAAATTCAACGTGATACGTTTTAGTGACTATATTAGTTAAAAGCAGAATGCTTTGAAGAATTTAAAATCATCGATTTTTTTTTTTAATCTGTTCGGATTCGAAAAATTAAAAAAAAAACGCAATAAAACTAAGACATTATTGAATCAGATAAGCTTTTAATTGCTTTTATGAATAATTAAAGAAAATATTGTCTGAAGAAAAACATTTTTTCGATGAAAAATGAATATTTACAAGATTTTTGATTTTTTACAATTTTAAATTGAATAATTTATAAAGATTTTAGAATTCAGTTTCAATTTGATTTTTAGAAAATATTGATATTAAGCAGAACTATATTTACTAATCATATATTTTAAAACTTATTACAATCTGACTTCTCCGGATATTTTAAAAAGAATTCTGATTTGTTTTTGTATGTGTGATATACATGCAGAATAACTAAGTATGGATCGTCAAACCTATAACATTTTCATTAAAAGGTCACGTGTTTTAAAGGTTGTTCACCATTAGGGGAAAACTCCTTCATATAAGCTTTATCGTCTGATCCACCATACTTAACTATGAACACGTTCGGCTGTCATTTGGCTGTCAATAAATCGATTTACACTTCAGAAAAGCAAGAGCACGTGATTAAGAAATGCTTGTATACAACATTTTATGCTATAAGTAAGTAATATTTATTTCAAATCAGATTATTTTAACTTTAAGTTTGTTAATTTTCCTCAAATAACGTTTCAGAAATATATATTTTATTTTTGCAAGATTTTTAAAACCGAGAATGAACATTTGTTTACAAGTGTGTCAAAATAGCTGTTTTTATCGATTTTACTGAAAAAATTAAAATCGAATCCGATCAATATAATTTCTGTTTGAAATACACCACAGAGTACGTTCCTTATTGGAAATAGTAAATTTTATATCTTTTAGCTTTCAATTAAATCTAAAATGAAAGCTTCAATAAAGCGTTTCTCTGTTTAAAAATTCATTTTAAGCCTTACGTATACCGAACTAGTGGAGGTACCTATATAAGTCAAACTTGAGTATGTGACCCTCGACGCCGGGAAATACAATAAATTAAATAAAATTAACAAATATTTTTAAAAATCTAAGGGAAATAACTTTTTATATACAAGCGTTTACATTTTTCATATATATAAAATGTTGGCTATTTTTTTTTTTTTTACTATTTAAAGCATTTCTTTTTTTAGGACTGATTTGGAGCTTTGATGTCTCTTCAAAAAACACAAGAGAGAAAAAAAAAGCTAACATTCCAAGGGGAGACAACTCCTTATAATCGAGTATTCATTTTCCAACTGGTATTACTTTCGTCTTAATTTCAGTTGCTTTTCATCACAACATTCAGCTCGTCATTTTATGGAAGCAAAACGGACGGGAAATAACCAATAAGCCTGCAGCGAGATCCAAACCCATGTCAACTTTCTCACAGGAAGCTTGTTTTAATTCAACAGCTGCCTTACCGCTTAGGCTACAGAAACTTACTGCAAGCATCTATTTATACATGTGGGTGTATGCATGGGCATATTTCAATTAATTCACCCCAAGCAAGGCAATAATGCTACTAAAAATCAAATGGCTACTGGGAGTTAAAGAAAATGGAAATCACTTAAGAAGGAACATGAAATTCAATTCTAAGCAGAAAACAAAGTATAAACCACTACTCCAGTACGAAAGACAGGGGAGGTTGTGAACCGAGTGATAAGCGAACCTATTTGGAAAAAATATATAGTAAAATCTTCAGAGTCTACACATTCAGAGTAGAGAGTTGAAGTAAACTTTAAAAAACAAGTAGGAAAAAGGGGTAAACTTCTGCCCCTGTTGAAAAGACTGGGGGAGTGCGAACAGAACGATAGGCGAACCTCTCTAATCCTATAGCCATTCCTCATCTTTGTCAATTGTCTGATAGATTCCTGGGGTTGACAGCCCTATGAGTTTGAAACACCGGTTCCCATACGATAACCAAAGTTAAGCAAGGTCAATCCTGCTCAGTACCTAGATGGGTAACTGTTTGTGAATACCAGTTGTTGTAAGCTTGACAATGACTCGGAATTGTTAACTAGGGAGCCTGGTTCCAATTCCCCTTGAGTTCCCTTATATGCAAATACCATTGGGAAAAGTATGAATCCACCTGCTCTCCCCCTGGCTATGGGTTAATTAGTAAAACGTGCATCACTCAACTATTATTAACTAAAAAAGAGGACAATCTAAAACTATTTTCTGGCTTTAAATAACTTACTAAGGGTATGTCTTTTAGAGTGATTTACATTCTCTGGAATATAAATATATAGAAACTATTGTAACAACAAATTGAAGGATGTATTAAGTGTAATATAGAATCCCCCCCTCTTCCCAGTTTGCATCCACATTATAATTATTATTAGGTATGAATGCAACTTCCTCCCCAAGTCTATGGGTTAATTAGTAAGACTTGTATTACTAAATCATTATTATCTAAATAAAAAAAAAAGAATTCTTACAATCTAAACATATTTTAGAGCTTTAAATAACCTGCAATGGGTCGATAAACCGTAAAAAATGAATGAATCAATGATAGACTTTTTTAGAATCATAATCATGAGTTCTGCAATCTATCAGCGTTGTTGGGGAACCATATGTACTGCAGCTGTGGTAGCAGTGGATGTGTCTAGGGTATACAAAGACTATCCCTATTCTGGCTGATTTTGAATTTTTTTTTCCTCCTATCTAAGAGATGCTACCAGGATCCGGTCCCTATCTGAGAGGTTCAACCTATCCTTAGATAGGGGACCGCCTGGGAGCATCTCTTACCAGAAACAATACCAGAAGTCGTATCATCGTATTATAATTTTGGCATTGATGATCACACCAGTTCTCTTGATCAGCAGCCGACAGCCTTGCTTTAATGATTGAAGCTGTCTGATGCAAAACCCAAAGAAGTATCTGCAATGTTATCAGTCCTGACCTGGCATCTCAGCTTAGGAAACTTTTTCCAGCCCCGTAACGTAGCTTCTCCATGCCTTTACAGTAAATACTTTCATGGTAATTTTTTTCTGAAAGAAATTTCCTCTATGACACCGAGACATTATGAATGTATGCGCAGTACTAGATTGGCAGATAGGTCTCATCATTTTGTATTTGAAATGGCTAGATGTAGCCGTAAGTTCTAAGCTAACAGTTTATTTCTCGCTTATGGAACTCCCTTTTGGTCTTTTGCTTCCCAATGAATTTTGATGTTCAAAAGTTTAACAGCAATGTCTATCGTTATCATCGGGATTCTTTTTCTTTTATTGTTCTCCCTCCTGAATAGTGTTTTTCTTTTGCTTATATTCTTTCATACTCAGTCTTAGAGTTTTTATTGCCTTGCTTGGGGTGAAATATATATATATATATGTGTGTGTGTGTGTGTGTGTGTGAAAATATATAGAAAATAGGAAGGAACTGGTTAGGTAAATAATCCAAGGTCCCTTAGTATTTTAGTTATTATTTTAAAAAAATACTGCTCGATACAAAAGTAGAGCATAAATATAATTATTTATTTAAAAATATGATTCCAAATCGCGACATAAGAAGTCTCATGTTTCAAAACAAGAGCCGAAAACTTCAGTATAATTATTTGAATTAAATTGAGTTAAAGTAAGCTCTGTTCCATCTTCAAGTGAAATTTTTTGGGAATAACGTATTTCTGAAATTTACGTGTTTTAATACATCTTCCGTTTAAAATTTAGACACCCCCACCTTTCCCTGAGTTGACATCTATGAAAGTAACTCTATACTGATACTTATTATTAACACCCAACACTCGCCTACCCAATTTAAACAATTCGCCCTAGCTGTTACCATGGAAATTTTGATTTCAATTATTAAAACGCGTAAATTTCAGAAATACGTTATTCCCAAAAAATTCGCTTGAAGATGGAACAGAGCTTATTTTAACTCAATTTAATTCAAATAATTATATTGAAGTTTTCGGCTCTTGTTTTGAAACATGAAACCTCTTATGTCGCGAATTGGAATCATATTTTTAAATAAATAATTATATATATATATATATATATATATATATTTAAATTATGAATAACTATAAACAATCATATGGGTACTATCAGATTTCTAAAAGTTGTTGGATAACCACTTCAATGGTGAGGGCCATTTTAGTAGCTATTTTCATGCAGCAAGTGGGTAGCCATTATGTAAATTAAGATAGCTGATCTTCATGAAGTGGAGAAAGATAAAAAAAAGAAAGATTTCCAACAGCAGCAACAACTGTAAGGGACAAGAACTAGAATGACATCATCAAGATATTGACCTTCCACATTATCATAAACAAAAAGTTAGGAAGGAAACCCCCATCAATTCTAGAAAGAGTCGTGGACTTGAGAAGCTTATTTTACTGAAAAACTGTTTCAAGATTTTATAAATCTCAACCGACGGTAACTGGTTAATGAACGTCAAATATTTCCTCTATTTTTTCAGCCCGTAACCCTTTAGGGTCGTAGGGTGACCAGATTTACTGCTGCTGCAGTTGCAATGGCATTCCTCGGCAAGATAGATTGATGGAGTCCAACCCACTCCAGGCTGGTTTTTGAATTCAGAGTTCTAGATCGGTTGCCACCCAAGGCTATAGGTGTGGCTGGCGCTAGACACTCGTTAGTAAAATCAGCAGGCTTGTTTGACCAATCCCACTATGTGTCTATGACTACCAGTGACCTGGTTACTGTCAGGGTAATTTCGCCAGAGCAAAATAGTTTCAGTAGTTTATAATTTCTGAAAGAAAATAACAGAACTATTTCGTCGTCAGTATAACAGCAAAAGGTAATCTAAAAAAAAAAAAAGGTCCTTTAAGTACTCTAAAAGGCTAGTGATCAAAATGAACAGAAAGATAGCAGGTCCTCTGATTTTAGTACCCAGAAATTTGGTTCAAATCGGGCGACGGCAATTACATTAGGGCCCTGCTATTTATCCATAACTTGGTAGAGAAGAGATTGATTTAATACCTTTCACAAGGTATGAACTCCACGAAAGTAATGAACTCAACTGGAATTCGAACTCAGCTCTATCAATTACTCCACTATGCCTCTATAGACAGGGCTAGAGGAACAGTGGATTAATGGATATCGACTCAGATTAAGGCATCGCAGAGCCGAGTTCGAATTCTAATCAATTACATTACATTCCCTTATGTGCTAATATCCTTGGGAAAGGTATAAATTTTCTTATCCCCCCCTCCAAAGTATGGGTAAGTAGCAGGATAGACTGGGTCCTATAGCCTTGGATGGCAACCTAATGTTGAAAAATATCTGCCTCGTCAGTCATATATCGAAAGATACATGATCGCCTCAGCGTGTATCAAGCAATGCACATAAGTGACTGACTGAATTTGAATCATCACTTTGATTGTAGATAAGGCTCTGTGATCAAAATGGTAAGGCAGCTGTCACGTTAAAAAAAGACGTGAGTTCGGATCTTGTTGGAGATTTATTCTCTATTTTCTGCATTAGTTAATATCGTCTGCAAAATTATAGGCACAAAGCCACAGAAGCGGAACACTCTGTAAGGGTCAAGCTCCCTGTATGGCTCATCAGACAAGTTTGCTAATCTTCACATTAAGGTTGATACCTTATGTCAGCTTTATTTCACCAGTAAAAGCAAGAGTAGAAAATAAGTAATCATCCCCAAGAATTGATTTGAATAAGGTTTAACCCACAAAATCTTCATAGTCTAATATACTCACAGGAGTACACGTTAATGAAACACTTGAATGGTCAACTGAGAGAAGAACACCTAATTAGTTCAAGTGATCTATGTATACGTATTATTATGCAGTTTTAAATCAGAATTTACAAAATGCCCAGCAAGCTGTCAGGTAAGTGGGGGTAATTTTTAGTAGAAGTCAGATTTTGCATTTCTGCGACCACGTGGCCAGACAATTTGAAATAAGGAAACCTCATCACAACCTCTTTCTTAGGCCAAGCAGCATTCCAAATAAATGCAAAGTCACAACCATAATGACGGAATTTCAAGTCGTAATCTTTCCATAGCATATCTCAAAAATCGAAATCACTAGCCTAACAAAGAGAAATTATTACGTGAGCCTATGGTAAACTTGACTACTACAAATTCACTATATAGCAAAGAAGTTAGAATTAATGACAACGCTCCTTTTGTTATTGAACCACAAATCGGATGCACAAAACAGAAAAGAATAAAGGAGTTGATTTGTGGTGACCTTAATATGTAATGGGCTCACCCAAAGAGATACCAAAGTATACTTGGTGTCACATCAGAACGTCAAAAGAGGTAGGTGCTTAAGAGAGTTGACCTAAAAAGGGACTTCATAGCCGCCAAGTACAGAATCGAGTCTCAAAGTATGCCAGTGTTTGTGCTGGCATTATAAACAGGAAGTCAATCCATTTGAACTTGGGATGCAGACATGCAAGATGAAATGAAGTCATATAAAAGCCCTACCCATAAGCGAAAAGTTAAGAGACCCTCACATTCTTGCAAGAAGATCAATGTTTGAAGAAAGCCCCCAAAATCACATACCCAAGTGGTCCGCAGTAATTTTACAGAGTACAGAAGCAAATAAACAATTTTATGTTTTCTTATCAGACTATTTATGTATATGTATGATTATGTGTCTCTCAACGTTAATGTGCATTTTGCAAAATGCCCAGCAAGTTGTCGGGTAAGTGGGTAATTTACAGTACAAATCAGGATAATATTAAACTAAGGACAACTTAGAAATACATTTTTTTTTTTTTTACTGTTTTCTTTTTACATATTTCAACAATGTCTTCCCCAGCCTTTTTGAGGGTCTGTTGAAGCCTGGAATGTTGTTAAGACTTGTTTTCAATGAGCACAGGCATCGTCTATTTTACAAATCACACCGAATATTTGCATCTGCGTGCATGAGAGAAGATGGACATGCTTCTCTCAGAATGGAATTTGACAATATTCCAGAGAATAAAATACAAACATGGAAAATTGGAAAGTACACTGCAAAAAATCGTGAAAATTTAAAAAAAAAAAATGAGGAAATGACCATTAACAAA